CCGTGAGGCGAATAAAGGACTGAAAAGACATTTTCCAACTTCTTTGGAAATGATGTGTAATACAAAACTTGAGGTGGTGTCATACCTCAGCAACTGGGTTTCTGTTGCACCAACGACTTATCTGGGTTTGCACTAAGACGGTAGTTAATCAAAGTCATCTGACCAATACTTCCTTTGTCACAGTGCCGTGGTGGTAGAAAAATTCTTCAGTGTGAAAAAGCTTTTCTAGGCAAATAAATAGTAGGCTTTTGAAGCTTTCATGAAAGTATGTTCATGTTTCTGCAGTTTCCATGCAGTGACATGCAGTCCTTGATGCCGGAACAATTTCACCTTCTAACAAATCTTTTTACAGCTCAAGAAACTACTACTACTACTGCAGTAGTATGCGGAAATGTAGTAAAACAAGTTCAACAAAGTCTTATCTTATCTTAGTCGTAATAACATACAAACAAGCATAACTCAGCCACAGCTGTGACATCACGTACCTCCAAAAGCATCAATAATAACACATTACAATTATACTACTAAATACTACTAAAAAGACTAAATGCTGTTTTACTCACCAAGACGTCTGACAAAATCCATCCTTTTTGAGCGCGCTAGCAGTTTCCTCAAATCAGGGCTGTCCGTTCTCTGACCATCCGATCAAATCACTCAAGTTGCCGACGTAAATTTTGGTCAGCTGGAAGGCCTTGTCGTGGCTAACTCAAAATCTGATTTCTTTCAACCTGGCAACACCTGAGGATGAAATATGATTGGATAAAAAAAACTTGAGTATACGTGACTGGAGGCAGCGCCACCAAGAGCACAGCTGAATTTAATAGAAATTTGATAACAACATCACACATGACAACAATAATTATTCACTAATCTAAGTGACCTACTAACCTACTAATCTCTCTTAAGGAATTCTCTATTCTTTGATGGTGCGCTGCTATTCATGTTTGTATTGTATCTTTACTCTCATGTTATTCCTGTGTGTCTGTCTGTCTATCTATCATGAAACTCAAATGATGCAGAGCTGTCTCTGAAACCTAAATGTAGTCATTTCTCAAAGAGAAGATAAAGCGCCTATAAATGACAAAGACAGGAGGGAAATTAACAACACTACAACTAACAACAGTTGAAAAAAGTACAATGGCCCAATAAACAAAGGTTGGTAGGACTCCATACTCACAGTTGTCTGTGAGTGGGCTGTCCAAAGAGTTTAGTTGTAAGCAGCCGGACTTCTTCTTGGAGCATGAAAGACGTTTCGCACCTCAACCGAGGAACTTCTCTACAGGACGTATGAACATCATTGGCATTTGTTTACAGCCCATACAGTGTTGCAGGTCCCATTAAGGTTATATCAGATGTGTACTGTACATCTAGGTTGTGGCGCTTGCTCTAAGAGCCTCCGGTGGCCAGCTGTTCCACTCTGAACTTTGTTCTTGCAAAGGTGAACCTCATCAGTATCAAACTAGGTGGTACAGTGACAGGTAAGAAGTGCAGTTCTTTAGTGCATTTGTAAATGTTAATAAATACTTCCTTCGGATTATTTGCCAAGTTACAACCGACGTTTTAATTAAATGCATTTCACGTGGGTGAGTTTATAGCACTTTCAGCTGAAGTCAGTGTGCCTGTACAGGAAAGATGTTTCTGCCACATCATAAGCTGGTAGCAACAGCAGAGAGACATAACTCTACAGAGATGAGAATTAACCCCAACCCATACCCCAGACATGAGCTTACAGGAAAGCTCATCATTCACACACACACACCACTTTCCACCCCACAGTTGGGAGTTTGTACCACTGTGGTCTTATTGACATCCCTGGTGTCTCTCTAAAAATATAAAGCTGTGGGGCTGAATGATCACTGCGGTTAAAACCAAACCTGGGGAAAACATTTTCAGAAAATATTTTTTATTTTTTTTATTCCACTCCATCCATTCTACTACTGCTTTTTTTGTAAATGTTTGAAGGTCATGTTAATTCGCCATAAGTTTTGGTTTCTATTTTGGCAACTCAAAAAGAAGTTGTCAGGTAAAAGCGATGTCCGACTTGTTCTGCAGGTCAAGGAAGGAAAATCCACAATGCAGTTCGAAACAAATGTAGAGGGGTAATTACGTCAGACCTAACCATAAAGTTCACAGTGTCTGCTTTCTAGAAGCGCATTTGTCTGTTTCCCAGAACTGTCATGCTGAAAGCGGTCCTTGCAGCAGTAGCAGCAGTAGCAGCACCACAGAGTGGGTTAGGTGGGAGGCTGGTGTTTGGGGTCTAACCAGATAACGCTTAGAGATGCTGCTCCAGTTAATCAACTGACAAGGAGACTCAAATGAATCACTGAATCAGCAGATATCTCCACCAACTACTCACTTTTTCACACACCCTGCTTCTCTTCTGATGCAGCTGTGGTCATAATGACAACTGGGTTTTTACACAGCTGGAGTTTAGAACCTGGGTTTAATTTGAAAACGAAACTCGCGCATTTGAAATGTAAATCGCCATGTTGATAATTGCAGGAACTTGCAATTTGATTTTAAAATTAGAAGAAAAAAAAGTGCTGAAATACATTTTCCTATTGATGCACTCAATAACGTAATAAATATTTATTTTACTATGGCTGCTCGCACTGCAGCTGTTTCAAACTGCGGCAAGAACAAGACACAGGGGTTTTGAACAAATGACTAACCAGCATTGAAAAATAAAAGATTTAATCTTTAAAAAATATTAGCCCTCATGTATCCTCCTCATCAGAAGAGGAGTAACAATCCAAACCCAGGACGTGACCAGTCCTCCCCCTGGTTGGGCTACTGTTCAAAGATCTCTCAGTAGTCCTCTCTGTTGCTTCACAGCCCGAACTACACGTGGGAATGGCACGTTTATGTCCAGATTCCAAACTCAACACAGTCCTGCCACTCTTTTGTGTACGGCTGTTGCCTGATGAACAACGGTGATCCACAAGAGAATTTGTGAGATTTGGCAGACTCGTCTGCAGCATCCGGGCCAGACTCTGTTCTTGACAGGAGCCGACCTGATGTGACAGATGTCTGACCCCTGCAGTGGCTATTGCCAGGCGCGTTTTGTCAAAGGAGAGTGGCTGGTCTTGATCCGGACATTCTGATTCTGGACACTGTGACGTAAGGTTACTGTGGACGAGACGTGGAGGTGTTGTAGGAGTGTCAGAGCTCTCACTGTGATTGTCCTGTGACTTAGAGTGCCGTGGATCTTTCGCTGAAACATTGGTGACAGAATAGGTAGAAATGGGTCAGTGGGCATGTTTGATGGACCAATAAAGTTGACGGGTCCTTAGTTTACAACATCCTCGACGGCGTTTCGTGGTAACATCACCATTTCCCATAAATGTTAGACTTGCTCCATCATTCCGACGTACGGCGTTAAAACTCGCAACTTGTTTGCACACAAACTAGTTAGAGATTTGTTTACAAAACAGCTGTCTAATGAGGAGAAGAAGTTAAAACTGGCTGTGGTGTCTTTCTGAAACAAAACAGCTGTCTAATGATGAGAAGAAGTTAAAACTGGCTGTGGTGTCCTCACTTGACCTTGGTTTGTACTCACACCTACACACGGCACAGTTCCCACAGAGCTCTACATGTACTGAATAACACTATGTTCTATCTATTTAACTCCAACTCCAAAAGAATATTAGTGCTGGTACTTGGTATCGACCAGTAGCCATATAAATACTTTTACTCATACTTGCTTATATAAATAGTTATCAGAAGAACCGTATATGTGTGTCTATTTAATTTTTTTAACCCTTAAAATAAGTGAGAGGTAAACCAAAAGCGTTGGCACACTAACCTGGTTTCTCAGAGCCCACGGTCTCTGTTCTTCTTTTGCTGTACGGTCGTGCAGTCCACGGCTTGTGCTTACAAGAAGGGTCAAAAACCCGTAGTTTGGTGATGAATTTTTTGTACTCCTTCTCCAGAGCCTCAATGTTCTGCTGAAATTCAGCTATTTTTCTCTCTGGATAATGAGACAGCTGGGACTGCTGGGGTGAAAAGACAGACAGAAGAGTATTCAACGACCTGCAATATTTGTTCATTTTTATTACAGTATTACTTAGTATCTCATCGCAATTTAGCAAAAATAAACTAAAACACATTATAAAATAATTATACATACGAAAGGTTTGGCTTTAAAAAGCCCATTGCTGGTAGCTTTGTTTACCTAGACGAGATCGAACACAGCATACTATTGGCTAATACAATGTGTACTATATAATAAATAATAATAAATATATAATAATTAACCAATTAACTTAAGTGGCAACGTTAACATAAACATGGTAAATATGTAAATATACTCAAGAAACTATTTTGGCTTAACAATTCACTTACTTGTAAATAGTACTCTATGTCATTTTTGATGCTGGGGATCCACTTTTTAACTGAAGCGGCTGAAGTGAGAGTAGACTGCGGACAGAAAGGGATGGATAAGAGTGTGTTATGTATATTACTCATAGTAGTGGACAGTTCAAAAGCCATTACTATTTTTCCATCACTTTACCAACTTGGGTCTCTGCTCCTGCACGTCTCTGATGCGTCCCTCTGTACAAAAACATTGACGTGTGATATTATCGGGAGCACTACCGTCAACAACCGGTTCCTTCATGGGTTAACCTTTTGCTAAATTTGCGTCATTCTGTCGGTAAACGGTGTCTTACCTTCCCTCTCTTTCTGAAGCCACAGCCTGTTCAGTCTACCTTGCTGCTTCTCTTCATTTCTTGCCATTCTGTCTTCCCGACCTATGACGAGCTAGCCCACAGCTAACACAGCATATTGACACAAACAAAGTCACAAACAACGGCGCGCTTAGATGAAATATCGCGAGAGGTTAACAGGTACACGTGAACAGGTATAAACAAATCATAAGACAAAAAGAAATTCCAAAAAGATCAAATTGAATCCACAATATTTTTTGCATTAGTTGTACAAGTTGTAAATTAAGTAAATCAAGAAATATATCACATTTAAAGAATTTGATCTTGGTTTTTGACTGGAAATGTAAAAGGATCGAAAACAATTTAATAAACCGTTTAAAAAAATAAACAGCCTAAGGACCATGAATGATGATGAAAGTTCAGAAATATATCTATATAGATTAACCTAACTAATTTGTAAGTTATTTTTTCTGTTTTTTAATAATTCACTTTCTAGTTTGTTGATAATTAATGAATAACACACATTTTGCAGGTAAGTCAAATACGCAACTATTGATATCTCATTATTGTGTTTTGAAATAAATAAATGATTTGATCACGATCAAGAGTTTATTTTTTTAAGCATTAGCTAAAAATAAAGACCACTGATTGCTATTAGAGCACGGCAGATAAAGTTTAACAAAGTGTATCAGTGTTTCCATTAGTGTTTTGTTTTTTTCCATGAAGAACTAACCAAAACCACAAGACTCGAGATGAAGATGGTGTGACTGTTCTTTAGAAACTGTTTTTTTTTTCTGAATCTGAAACTTTAGTAGGACTTCAGCCCCCTAACAACCCCACTTTTCCATTTCATGGTATTAATCATCTTTTTATTAGAATTGCCACATTATTATTGATTACTATTATCAAGAAATCCGTTGGATAGAAACATAAAAAAGAGAAAAGATAGCTACTTGCTTTTTTTTCCAAACTGACTGTACACAATTAGAATATCTTGTTGCTCCTCTATACTTTTTTTCTACAGCTAACAAAAGTCCTCTCTGTATATTAGAGCTTGTCCAAGAACTAATGCCACCACATGGTCAAAGGCTGCATTGCAACAGAGCTTGTCGTGAAAAACATATATATATATAAATAAGCAACTGGACTTGTTGGAGCTTGAAAAACGTTTCATTCCTTAACTGAGGAACTTTCTCAGTTTCTGGTTGGTGTAAGAGGGAACCCTACACTTCTCTAGACCACTCCCTTGACAAACTTGACAAATGACACATCAAGGTGTGAGGAATTGTTTGATCACCGCCTTAGAGACAAGTGACTGCTTCTGATGGTATGAACTCTCTTCATTGTTAAATTTTAATGTGGATTTAACTTCTACGATGGATTGATTTTTTTTTTAGTCGACACTTGAAATTGTCAGAAGGTTTGAGGAGGAAAGTGACAATGCAAAAAAAATGTATCGACCATCTTTATTTACCGACAGAGGTCTCCAATAGCAGGGCTAGAATTCACACATTTCTAAAGCACTTCAGTTGTTCAACACAATGCACGACTGTATTTCTTTCAGAGCAATTATGCAGTGGTGTGAAAATAAAGAGTCTGTTGAAGAAAGAAAAAAAAAACACGAGGCCAAGTTACATCTGTAGGACAGATGGGTGGAGTGTGTAAACAGAGGGGATGTGAGGAAGGCCAATCTTAACTGCAAAAAGACACTTCCTCTGTTACTCCGAAGTACAGACAGACTCACATGGTGCGTAAATCAGAGATGAGTTGTTGGAGAGACGTCAGATTGTGATGAGCACCTCAAAAAAACACTTAAACACGCGAAAGAAATCAGCTGCAAATAAACCCAGTTGCCGGAGGATAAATGTGTATACAGAGCAACCGTTGATGTGTTTCTCCAAGATGACCTAATATTTATCCTTAAAAATGCTCAAGTAAAAAAGAAACCTACACAGATTTATGAGCCTTATCAGTAAATTTAAATGCAGACAGCTATCGCCTTAACATAATTTCATTTCTATGCACCATGTGAGATAGTTTCTTGAAGAATTTATGAAAATAGTTAAGATCTACGGGCCAGAGTTCATAGAAGAATAGACCTCCTGTATAAAATATAAAACAATACCCCAGTGCTTAGGAAAAAAACAAAATCCTTAAATCTCATCAATGACTGAAGCTGTGACTTCAGAAAATACCTAGTAAGAGCTAAGGAGCTTGGGTTGGGTCTCTGCAGGCTGTATTAAAGCGAGCAAGCAATGGCACACACCAAGCCACAGGATGCTTTACACTTCAAAATGCATATTTTCAAGCGGCAATTACAAAAATTCATCAATGGACAATGCATAACCTCTGAAAAAAATACTGTATGAAAACATCCCTGCTACTTTGTTTACAAGTATAAAACCTCTACCAATAAGTTGCTCCAGAATAGCAAGAAGTCCTTTTTGTTTTTTATTAATTTTTCTTTTTTATCATTGTTTTGTTTTATTTGTTAAAACTCAGTCCTCACATTGAGTGCCATAGTAAATGACAGTCTTCTCCATCATTTGACTTTGCTGAAGGATCCAGGAACATGCAGGCCTCGTAGTGGAGGTGCTCAGGAGGCTCCTGTTGGCCTGAGAACAGCAGCTGGGCCTTAGGACAGGGCTGGAAAAGCCTCTGGGTCGTCCACATTGGGTACAGACACTGATGACTGCGTGGACGAAAGCAGACGAGTTGTGTTAAAATCGTAGCATAGCAGAGTGACAGTGCAGTTAAGACGTTTCATTTCTAGTCAGATGCAAAACCTCCACAGAAGCAACGTTTACCTTGTCAGTCCTTCCGGTACGAACCGGCCTAGTGGGCTCACCGCGACCGCGTCCACGACCTCCGCGTGGTCCTCCACGTCCACGGCCTGGACGGCCCAAATCTCCAAAGTTAATTTCCAGCTGAGATGTAATGTCATTGGCGGGCTTACGGAAGTGGTGCTCGTCATCTCCCTGAGACACGAAACAAGGACATAATTGGTACAGCTGCATTTTCTATTATCATTTGATGATAGTGTGTTTGTACAAGGTTTAATTTGACTTCTGACACTACAACAGCATTGGATTTACCTTTGGCTCATCAACCTCTGGGTCAATTATTTCATCTTTCTTGGCCTGTAACAAAAAATGTAAAACATTAAAACCACAAATGGGGATAAATATCCTGTCCGTTAAAACACAAATCATCGATGACACAAACACAGAGGAATCAATTATTGTACTTCAACATTTTTAATATCATTACTGACGCAGAATATTTTTGAAAAACCACCATGTTATCTGCACAGAAGAAGTAATCAAAAGATCCCACAAGCCAATAAATGACTAATGGATGTATAAGACTCTCTGGCTCACCTCAGCTTTGGACTTGTGCAGCACAAATCCTTTGTTCCAATCAGCTCCCTCGTTTGCTTTTCGGATATTGAACTCCACCTTTGCTCTTTCCTTGCCCTGCATGGCCTTCCACTCATCCAGAGTCATCTCCTTGGGAGCTTCATCCTTGACCTCCTCAGCCTCATTCTCCCTTCAACACAGTCGCATACATTCATGCCTTTTAATTCAACACACTCGCACAGTTTTCACTTTAGATTGGTGGTGGTCTGCTTAAGTCTAGACATAAAGAACACAATCACTAACTTAAGTCAATTGGACAAAGGATCAGTGGCAAGATGCTTTGGCTAACACCCAACTTTAAGATTTACCCCCAACAGAGGTAACCATTGTGAGTCAATTTGTAAATGATATATTGTTGGACATCAACCTTTAAAATTGATAGAAATATGTGGCACTGATGTTATTTGTTTGTGGTCCATGTGGACTACTGATTTCAAACTCCTGTTTAAAGCAAACCACATCTACGGTTTATTTACAGCAACTGACAGATCCAGAATATGGAGACGGGCAGAAACCCAGAACCCATTTAAATGTATTTACAACTGACATTGTATAAGCTAATTTTATCTTGAATTACTAAAATATTAACTATGTAAAAATGTTTGTTTGGGACAGCCAAACAAGATGACTGCCTTTGTCAACCTTTACTCAATAGCAAAAAAGATTTAGAATTAACTTTTTTTTCTTAGTACTTTCTACTTTATATTTTTGTAGAGGGGTGTTTTTCTACTTCAAAAAGTCAAAAGAACTTACTTGTTCTCAGAGTCAGCAGCAGGATGCTCCTCTCCTTCAGGATTCTCCTCAGTGAGGTTAGATTGGTCAAGTTCACTGGTAATGAAATGAACAGTCTAACGTCAGCATTGTCCATACAACATGATTTGTATGACGTTTAAACAAAGGTGTTGATCTGCAGCGGTAAATTACATTTATAGAATTAGGGTTTTTTCTTTTTGTCACTTCTGTCATTTCAAACTTTGCCATTCACATACAACACCAAAGCAATAAAAACAAGACCTCACAATTAATGTAATTTTGTACTTAAGAGAACTTACTTAAGCTCATCCTTCACGGTTCCCCAGTTGTGAGATCCACTTCCACCACGCTTGTCCTCTCCCTTTAGACTACTGAAACAACATTTGCTTTAGCCAGAATAAATATTCTTCACTCGTGTAATAAAACCTGTGCAGTATCATAGGCTCACAGCAACAGGTCTAAGTATTGAAAAGGAACATACGATCGGTCACTGCCACTGTGTCTGTCGAATTCACGCTTTCCTCGGGAATCAAAGCCATCCCCGCGGCCGATGCCTCGCCCTCTGCCACCGCGGCCACCTCTGCCGCCTCCACGTCCTCTCATTGGTCGGTCACCAGTCATCGGTCTGGGAGGAAAAAATGGAAAATAGTCAGTAATCCCGATCATGGCTTTTACATCTTTGTTTAAATAATTAAACACTTCAAAAGACACTCATTTCATTATAAACTTGGTTAATGCTTTGTCGTGTCATGATAATGTGATTCTAAAAAAAATATTATTAGCAGATTTATCCAGCAAATATGGTGATTATAATATAATATTGTTAGAAATATTAACTCACTTTTCTACAGAGAATTCTCCACCCTCTGGTTTCTCTCCAGCTTCACCAGCAGGCCTCTCAAAGCGACGAGGGGGCCGCCTGTCCACAGGCCGTCTGTCTGTGGGGGGCCGCCCTTCTCCCTGGCCAGCCTGGGGTCTAGTGCCTTCACCCTCTGGCTTGCGGCCTACTCTTCTCATACCAGTGCCTAGGAAAGATCACAAAGGTTTGTTAGAGTCACACTTCTTAATCAATAAAAGGAAAAAAATGCATGCAATTGAATAAGGTAACATTGGATCATTTATTAAATATTGGACAACTTTGTCAAATATTTCCAATAAAAACAAGGAATAATAGTTTATTTTGTCAAATCAGCTCTACAAACACCAGCCCTATTTAAATCTTGCCTGTTTTTACAATAATTAAGTGAATTTAGTCAATGTGATTTACAAAGAAAACGATGTTTAAACATGAATGTTCATTATGATAGCTGTTCAAATATTTGTACTGGTCCAGTAACTCTGAATGAAACTGCCATGTCTGTAGCCCCATGGCAAATGACAGACTGTGACTGACCAAGTCCCACCCCTAGATCACTATCGACCAAAATAGACATACTCCAGGACCAAGCAACAGCTGGGTGCACCATAGTCAGGACACCTGTCTCATCTTCTCTCAAGCAAACTGATTAACTACTTGGCATGTTATCAGGACGATAATGGCCAATCATGACTCGGAGATAACTTTATAAACATCCCTCACCAAAACATGACACATACTACTACAGACGGAGTGGAGTACAGTGTTTTATTTTCATTTTCACAGCAAAACATCGATTGGCTAAATTTTATTAGAAACACTAGCAACAACACTGTTAGAAAATGTTATACTGACGGACCTCAATCGTGTGGAGTTTAGATACAAAACGTGCGCACTCACAACACCTGTGGATAATGTTTGTATTAGGTAGTAAAGTATACTGCAATAAGCACTGTAAATATTCCTGTTTGGAAAATGCCCAAAAGCCAGGCCGGCCGCATGCACGATCACAAACACTGCGCAAACGGGAAGTGATCCGACACCACGAGGTTCAGCACCGCGAAAGCTGCGGGTGTTTCTCTTGTGTGTCACATCCACGGCACTGCCTTACAAAACAAAGTCTATGTGTTTCTTTTTTTAAAATATAAAAGTAATACAACACGGTTACATGTTTTTTGATTAATTTTATTCCGTAAGCCCTGGTTAATTTGTGTTAGCTAACCACTCGTGTCGTGGATAAGTTATCAATACAGATTAAGCACATACGAGTTTTAGAAATCGCACATGTCAATGCTTTTTTCTGTGGTCAACCGGGCTTTCGGGTTCCACCTGCTTCTCAAGGCCGGGCTTTGCAAGGACAGACGAGCCAAAACAAAACCGTTTATAAACGGTTCTTCGCTGATGTTCTAAAACCGAGGAACTCCAAACAGAGGGTTCATATTTTTACACTAGCCTTCAGGAAAAAGCAAATGATAGTACATACGAAGACAAACGAAACCACGCGGACCCTACTGCTAAAGCAAGCAACATAGCCTGTTAGCTCTAACAACTGATATGCTGATCATTAAGAACGACAAAACGCAGAAAAGTGTATTTTCTTTTACCTTCCTTCTTGAGTGGGACAGGCGCCTGGCTCTCTTCCTTCTTGTCAGCCAGTGGGGCCTTTCTGTCTTTCTGGGACTCCTTTTTCGGGGGCTTCGCAGCCTGGGCTGCAGTCTTGGCGGCACCAGGGGCAGAAGCCTCCTTCTTCTTCTTTACTTCAGCCTGCTTTAACAGCTCAAATGGATCCGACTCATCGTCAAATAATTGATCAAACCTATTGGTTATGGCACAGCCAAAACCTTCTTGCATTTGTCCGGGCATGATGGCGCCCCCTTCGCCAGGTTTTTCCTCCGATTCTACGGGGCTTAGTGCGAACACTTCGCTAGATGAAGCCACAAGATGGCTGGGAAAAGGACCCTCTTCTCTTCCGGCGCGGTAGACATCCGGGACCTGGGCGTTAGCGCGGATGGGATGTGTAGTTCTTTAGATATGATCAGCACTGGAGCCACCTATAGAGGAAGGCAATAAAGCACATCATTACCCACAATGCAGTTGTCGACAGCGATAACTAGACTGTCTGAGTCTGAGCATGGAAGCTTTAGGTGGCGGAACTGTTATTTTACTCTTCAGGATGAAAGTTTCCATATTTAAAAACTGTCAGTTCACCGTCTGTAAAACATTTGAACACCAAATATGACTTTATAATCACTTCAACCTGTTAATATCCGCCATGCTCCATTTGCCAACCCGTTAGGCTCACAACAGGTGCGCCTGTGCAAATGCGTGGATTAAAGGAATAGTTAAAGCTTTTTGATGCCAAGTTGCAGTAGCAATACTTTAAATATACAGGAGAGAAATTATTTTTTGACATTTCACAAATATATCACTTTGCCAAGCCAATTTAGCCCCTCAGTCTTAATACATCATAAGATCATTGTCACAACTTGAACTAACTTTGAGGCCAGCACCAAAATACATGTACCACACCTCTTGTACCACAGAACACAACGTAATATTGTAGAAAAATCATACATTTCTTTCTCCAGGAAGACATCTTCATAGCATGAGACCCAAATTTCTTTAAAAGAAAAAAAAAAGGCTTTTACAGTTCCTTTAAATTTGTTATAATACAGAAATATCTATCACAAATATATAACGTACTAGCTCCCCATGCTATCTATATGTGTGTTAGCTTTAACACAAAACGTGTTTTTTGTTGTCTATTAAGATTCTCAGTCATCCAGGTCATGTTAAAGGTTGAAGTGTTCTGTTTTGTGGTGTTCATGTCAACACCACAAAACACTAAGGCTACAATTCATGTCATTTTAGAATTGTTAATTGTCTAGAATTGTTTTTGTTAGGTTTAATGTAAATTTGGTGAAGTGGAGCTGGGGTTAGGTATTTTTTTCCCATCAGAATAGCTTCAGTTTTGAACCATTTTTGCAGTCTAGACCAATGAAGACTAATTTAGTGTATATGTAGGAAGCTGTACTCGCTCCAAATTTCTGAAATTCTTTGAACGAATGAATGACGACTTGAAAAGGAACAGATCCAAAATGCAGTTGCCATACCACACTGTGGGTGAATGGAAAATGTTGTTTTGGCTTCTATTACATTCTGTGTGGTGGGGGTGTATTATGCTTGAAGGCCTCCTCACTGACAAACTGACATGGCCTGACTGAGAACAAGTTTTTGCACCACCCTGTGGCACCAATACTGCACCAAGTACTAGTGTAAACAATGTTTAAGTCTTGCCTCATTCCTTCGGGGGTAATAAAACCTGACGATCAGCAAGTGTGTCGCTTGCTGGAACTCCCTCAAGTGCTCCCGGTGAAGTATAGACAGGTCCACTGCAGTTACAGACGTAGGTCAGGACTTTTGTCTTATTTCCACTTGGTTAATGTTTCAATGCCTAGATTTCAGTTTTGAGTCTCTTCAATAGAAGTAGCTTTTTCTTCTTGGTCTGCAACCACATAAAACCTCATTGAGTCAATCAGGGTTTTTTTTGAAAAAAAGAAAATTTTATGACAAAATTATATGAAAAAAGAATAGTTGTAATCTTAATGTAGGTTTACTGAGCATCCTGGCCGCACGTCAATAAGATTAGGTTTCCACTTTCCCAGTTTGTTTTTTATACATTTATTTTTGTCACAGCAATTTCAGTTTTTTTATAATAATAATAATGATATATGTATAGTTTCTGTACAAAACTCCATCTGGCATGAGTAAGTCTACACAGTCCGTAATGATATACTATATATATATAGTTTCTGTACAAAACTCTATCTGGCATGAGTAAGTCTACACAGTCCTGGTCCATCCTACTGAAGCTGTCTCTCTTCACAGCACAGCAGTGATCCACCAGCCTGTGCATCCCCAACATGACCTCTCCAGTCAACAAAGCCATGATGGAGTCCTACGCGCTCATGGTTTTGGTGATGGGCACATTTTTCATCTATTTCTGCGGTATGGTATGGGCTTTTTCCAACCCCAAACTGAGCGGATCCGAGGAAGAGGAGGTGTGTGAGGCTGCGGAACTGCACGGTAACGACTGCTTAGAACGCCGTCTCAGGTGCGCCTGCAGTGCGCACCTGGAACTGCCGGCACCGCCGTACACGAAAGAGGAGCTCACTCAAACGACTTATGTCAACTTCTGGGACGATACTTACAGCCTGCTGTCTGACTGCACAGCACTGACTGGAGAGGATCACGGAGTTTACAACCACTGTCACTCCTCCAGCGGACAGGATGACAAAGAGGTGACGTAGCCGAATATCACAGTCGTGGAAAAACAATCGTTCTGTTTCCGTTGAAAATAGAACTTATGTATTCATAAATATATTTAAAATCAATAGCATCGTTGTAAACCGCGTCGCATCTGCTTCACATTCATATGATGATTCATGAACACGTGGAGATTATATTTGTTTTTCCTCCAGCTTCATCTTTAGATCACTTTCCAGTTGCAGTAGTTTCGCGTACAAAGCCTCTGACGTTTCCAAATCAATATCCATCTGCAAAGACAAACAGAGGACACGCACTTGGTACTGTCATCTGTTTTATTCCTCTATTCACATTCTCTAGAACCGCTATTTCCTTTGTCATACTTTACGTGCTTGTGTGTAGTTGTTGCCCAGTCCAGATGTTAGGCTGTGGTACTTGACTTTCGGGTCCAGTGATTCAGGACTTTGCCCAAACAGCCACATCTACATTCATAAGATCAGTTTTAGATTAAAAATAAAAACCTTTTTTATTTAGAATTTAACTCAAAGAGCCATTTTGGAGACATACCAACGCTTCAGCTCCGTTGTACGGTGTAAGGGTAAAGGTGTTGGTGAAAAATCTTATCTGGGATATAAAACAAAGTTACAAGCAAATGTCAAACAAAAATGATAATTCAATCTTGAGAAGTGCAGTACATCACACAAAAAGTACATGTATATATACTGTATATATGTATAGATATGTATGTGTGTATATATATACATACATATATTTTTATATATGTATGTATATATACACATGCATATATATATATATATATATAGTTAAAGTATAGTTATAGTTAAAAGAAAATGACAATGGAATAATACTATTAATTCAATATCAAGTCATCACTACTAAACTCTATTATTTACTGCCCTTAACGTTTGGAGTACTGCTAATTTATGGTGAAAACTGCACTCACAAACCAGAGCAGGGGCATCAGCAGGGTCCAGAGCAGTGCTGGGAAGGCGGGCAGGACGCTGTAGGTCAGGCTGGTCATCACAAAACCAGGACAAATTACAGAAGAGTATAAACCCTAAAAAACCAAAGAGACCATTTTGATTATCGAACACTGGGCCTGGGTCCAAGTTAGTTTTCAATAAAACTTATCCTGCTGTATTTTATACTCTAAACCTAATTTAATATTGACTAAATAAAAAAAATTCTAATTTTAGTCTAAAGTTATTTAGGCAAATGTGTTTCATATTTGGGCCAGACAAATAAAACTTCACTCGATTTGACAAACAATTCCAGTGAACCATATCAGTTTAGGCGTGAGAGACGCTCAGCATCGAGGTGCGAAGAGTCGACCTGTTTGTTGTAGCGTGTGTTCAGTGCCAGGCTGAGCAGATCAGAAGCGTATTTGGAGGAGCTGTACGGCTGGTTGCCTCTGAAGTGCTGTATGTCTTCCAGGTTAAAGGCCGAGCGGTGAGCGTTACTGGAGGAGGTCCAGATCACCTGTGAGGTCAGAGCTTCATGGCACAGCAGCGGCTCCAGCTCTCTAATCTGGGAATACAGAAGGAACGTTCATCTCCGCTGTCAACCAGGAGTGCTTTATTCACTTAATAATATTACTCGTCGAACAGAATACGTTCGTCGTATATTCGTCGAACCATATCAATCTGAGTAACAGTTGCTTATTTTACCAGTATAAAGCGGCCATTGCATCAAAGTGGAATTTTTTTCTAGCGATGCCTTCAAAAGCTTGGTGGGTGTAAATGGACCTGAAGCTACTAGAGCAGGGCTGTCAAACTCAAATTCACAGTGGGCCAAAATTATTTTTTCATATGGAAATGCATAAACATTGAATCTGGGACTTTTATGTTTTCAATAGTCAACAAAAATAATTGTTGTTTTTCATTATTATTACCAATAAAGTGTGTAAGCATAACTGCAAGTAACATCAATTGGACTGGATTTGAATCTAAAAAGCTTTGAGATGTGCGAACGAGATCTATGTCGCTCTTTGATGCTAACTGTATCTGCTATTGCCTGCAAACGCAGAGTAAGCAGAGAAGAGTCTTCAGTGACCTTACGACTGGAAGAGTGTGTACTGTTAATTTTTAATGAGCAGCCATGCCAGGTTGACAGACAGATCCAGTATCACCTATATTTAAACAACTGAAAATAAATGAGAAGAAAAACCAAAAGTCTTTGGTGGAAAACGCTGATCCATACGTACAAGCAGAAAGTGACCAAAGAGGTTCGTTGCAAACACTTCTCTCAGGCCTTCAGAGGTGACATCATCCTTCTGGGTCAGGATCCCCTCACCAGTGGCAAACATGGTAATCACATTGCTGTCGTCGAAACACAGGGAAAGTGTTAAAAATGAATGTAGAGTTGGAGAATGGTGAACATCCGACACTGGGCTTTACCTGGAGAAGAGCCCTTTAAAAAAGGCCTTTACATCAAACTGTGGGTTTGGCATGATGCCTGCGTTCAGGTAGAGGTAATCCAACCTGTTATACCTGTAGAGAACAGACGGACTTTTCTTTTACATGGAAAAACAGTAGCACAACATGCTGAGGATTCTTAGGTGCTGTGCTGCAGTGTGTTTTTGACTGGCGCACCTGACTTTGACCTCCCGTGCAGCACTGATGACAGAGGAGACGCTGCTGGTGTCCAGCTGCAGCAGAGCCACCTGAGCTGTGGGAAAGGAGGTGAGAAGGGCACATCGAGCAGCCTGAGCCCGACGCATGTTCCTGCAGGCCAGACAGAGCTGCAGCCCATCCACATCCTGGGAGAGGAGACGCTCACAGAGTGCCAGACCAATGCCACTGCAGGAATGAAAGAAAACACTTCATTACATAATATTGTTTTTGATTTTCATATTATAACGGTGCCGTATTAAGTGAATCTGTTGTCACCTATTTGCTCCTGTCACCAACACTACTGTAGTCATGGTTCAAGACAAAAGTTCCCTGAAAACAAAAAAACAAAAAACACTTATTTTGAAGTCAAATGTTCTTTCAGGCCAACAGGCTTTGTTCCTTCACCACGCAAGGTCGTTCTCGCCTCTAACCCTCCACCTCCCTTCCGTGATTGGTCAGTGCGGCAGGTTCCAGCCAATGTGGCGATGACAAAACCTGGCTCAGGTCCAAGTACTGCCCACACAGCATGAAATATTCAGCTACTGCTGAATAACTCAACAACTCCACGGGGGTGAGGGTGTGGGGGGTGATGCACATGTTCCTGTATACATTTTTATTTGTCTTATCAATGTAAACATTGTTTACAGAGTGTGTATAACACAGACAGTACATCAATCAGAAGCCAACCGTTGAGTATAAATACATCTAATTTTTTTTTCAAACAAATACTTTTTTGTCCAAGATGTGTGGAGAAAAAAACCTTTATGAAGCTTTCATGTCAAAACTCAAACTTTTTTTTACTTTCTGTTTGTTGTAATATTATATAATAATATTATATTAGAATTATTAAAACACACCTGTTAATGTTTTCAATGACAACATTGGGTTTTACATAATAACGTATATGAACTGAGGACAACTGGACTCTTGATTTGTTCACTGTAAAAATGCTTCAGAAATCATCGAAAATGCAAAAAAAAAAAACCCAAAAAACAACACATGTATAAACATATAAATAAAAAATACAAAACACTGATATTTGAGATTTACAAATATCCATTGAATATACACAGTAATGTACATACATCGATGTAGAATATGAGTCTGGGTGATCCACACAAAAGGGTGACCTTTATCAGTAATTCTTGTCGCCAAACACCAATGTGGATTTTATTTCAAATGTAAATGTATTTATTTGCCAATTGTGTCAATACATTTTGTCCCTTTGTCCTTGAATTCAGGGTAAACATCCAATAATATTAGCAAAAAGTCAACGTAAACATGTACACCTTTAAAGCTTTGCAGCAGATTGTGGTCCAACTCCTTCTTATTTTATTTTTTTTACCCAAAATTGAAGGGATTTTATAAGTATCACACCAGTCAAAGAAGAACGGTGTGGCCTTGTCTGAAAGACAGTGGAGTTTAGACCTTAATGGACGGTATGCAGAGAAATACATTTATTGCTTCAAAAAACTTTATTTTTTTTCTAATTATGTCTGAAAACCTTTTGACGTCTTGGTGCATTTTGCACTGGAAGTGAAAACACAATACTTAATACACAAAACCTTACTAAGGAATGACTCTGATAGCTCCACTGCTACATCACTTAACAAAAAGTCAAATGTCAAATGATGTGTGAGTGCTGTCAGAGAAAAACACGTATACTTCACCAAATCCAAGGAATCGTGCACCCTGGAAGAGTCCTTGGTCAGTGGTCAGAAGATGTAACGTCATTAAAATGAATATTTCTGAAAACCCTCCCTTGAAATTAAGGAGCTTCTCTTGTTCGTAGTGCGATAAGTAGATGGGAAAGCGTCTCCTAAACTGTAGCATAGCATCCTCCGAGGGCTCTCACACACGAAGGAAACATCTCAAACCTGAAGTGTGTCTGCCGCTTGAGTCAAGCACCATTTTTAAAGAGTGGCAGACGATGGAGCTTATGGCTTATGGTGTATCCAGTAGGGCTTGGTGTATTTCCTGGAAGGAGGGGCGCTCTTTTGTGTTCCTCTTCCAGCAACTCAGCATGATTTTGTAGAGCGGGTCTGGACACAGCACAGGCTGAGGCAGGTAGATCTAAACGACAGAAACAGAGACGTGATTGGGGTAGATTTGTTGTTTTTGGACATATGGGGTGGGGGGTCATTTGAACGGTGCATACCTGTCTTTTCTGGTCTCTGAAAAACTCGCCCGTGTTCTCGATCACCTGCTCGTCAGTCAGCTGTGAGTACGGCTGTTCTTTGCAGAAGTTCAGTATCTCCCACAGAGTCACCCCGAAGGCCCACACATCACTGGCTGTGGTGAACTTACCCTGTAGAACCAGTCAGTGTGAACAGGTGTTAACAGGAAGAGCTGTTGTGAATATGTTGGTTTAATTCCAAGATTTTTACACATAACCTTAGAGCATAGCATGTAACTTCACCAGGTGAGAAGAACTGGTTTAATGAGATCTCACTATAGCAAACATAATTCAAAATCCATTGTTTAGGTGATGTTTTTTCAGAAATACAGCAGTTGGATATACACTATAATTTCTGACATTATGTGAGAAATCCGTTAAAAATCAGGTTTTGGTTCTACAGTAGGTGATGCTGCTAAACCAAAAGCTTTTTCTTTGACTAAACCAGATGCTCATGTCTCTTCTACATTTGACCCAGATACCACAGGAAATGCGGACCACGGGCGCGGCAGCAGCAAGGGCCTTATCAGAGTCTTTCTTTAACCTCCCTCAAGTCTTATCTCCCCCTCGAAAGTTGAATTCCAGTGAACATGCTGATATTTCATAACCTCAATGTGTCACAAGGACACAACAGCGTTGTGTTCACATGGCCAAGCACTGCATCTGAAACTGAATGCATTTTAAGCCACAGCTTGTACATAGTGCCATCATACTCCCATTCAGTAGAATAAAACTTTACATATATGAAGTTAAATGCATTCATTTGTTTTTCATTATTTTTTGCTTGTCCATGGAATATCGATACTATATTTGTTTTGTTTTCAGAAGTTGCATCCTTGTGCTTGTTTGTAGGGTTCTGTTAATCTGTTAAGGCCATCACTGTTCTCAGAAGGTATGATTGGCATGTTAGACCTATGATGTAATCACAGTTACTGGTGTTGCATAGTTACTGATGTCCAAAGAGAGATACGCTTCATGAATACAACGATGCCTCGAGGCCGTTTTCAGTTTTTTAGTTTGTTTTTTAAATCTTTTATTAGATGACTAATAAGCTTGCCTGTTGAATGGCACACAGCCAATAGAATTATTGTATCTAAAGAGTCACAAGCCGGGCTTTTGCTCGTGTGTAAACACTAAGAAGTTGAATTAAATCTACATGTCACTCAGTTCACTTTACATGAAGCCTACCGTACTTTCCCATTCTACACTTGAACCTCAGAGTTCAGGTATTTCTAAATTAAATACTGTCACTTTAATTTAAGGAATGTGTCCTATGTAGTGTACAATAATAACTCGTCTTTACCAGCAGGATGCTCTCCCACGACATCCAGCGTATTGGCAGCACAGCTCTGCCCTGGATGCGGTAGTAATCACCGCTGTACAGGTTCCTGCTCATGCCAAAATCTGCTATCTTTATGGTGTACTTTTTCCCCACCAGGCAGTTTCGCGTGGCCAAGTCTCGATGAACAAAGTTTAGGGAGGAGAGGTATTTCATCCCCGATGCTATCTGTGTGGCCATGTAGCACAGATTACTGAAACTGAAAAGGATGGAAGAGAAAATTGGACCAGTTAAAAAGAGGAAAACCAGTGACTCATAGCAGTTTAGCAGCCATTCACTCACCTGACAGTCACGGCATTGCTGAGCAGAGCGAGTTGCCCCTCGGGTTCATGTCGTGACAGAAACTGATTGAGGTCTCCATTCTCCATGTACTCTGTGATCATACAGAGCGGATCACTGTGGATGCACACTGCCAGGAGACGAATGATGTTTGGGTCCTTCAGACGGGACATGATCTTTATCTCTTTCAGGAAGTCATTTCTAACAATGGAAAAACAATGGCATATTTGAATGTAAACAGGTAGCAAACAATCCGTATCATAAATTGTGTCATATTTGTTTTTGTTTTCTTGGTAAATACCTTGCATTTTTGTTAGCATCTGAACGGAGCATCTTAACAGCCACTAAAACTGGCAGGTCGTCGGAGATGTCAAATAAAAACTCTTTATTCATGAACTCCTGCATGCCTTGTGCTTCACATAGATGTACCTGAAAGAAAAAGAGACCTCAAAAATAAAACAAAAAAGAGGAGGAGAAAAAAAAGGAGAGAACAGCAGGTAAATCGCTAAATAAATAAAAACAGCACCTACCTCTCCAAACTGACCTTCCCCTAGCTTCTCCTTGAAATTGAGCAGTTTGCGGGGAAACTCCTCTATAGCAACGTCCTTTCCCGATAACAGGTCCATCGTCACCGCAGGAATAGCGTACGTGTTGCTTCCTGTCACACCCTGCAGGTTTACAATGTCAGCCTCCGCATAGTGAGGAGCACCATCCTGGATGACAGTGGCGGTGGTAGATTTAGATGCTGCTGTGCTGGTAGAAGCTGGAACACAACACAGAATGTGTCAAAAAATGAAACAAATATATGCAATTTTACCTTCTAACTCTAATATCTCGATTGTAAAGCCACACCACAGTTATTCAACAGAATTCAGGTTCTATGAAAAAATGTCTATATTGTTATGTTTTTAACTGTCTGCTATACCATCTGCCTTGATTTTAGCCCTAGTGAAACTAAAGGAAAAATAAGTAGGAGTTGCCAAAATATCCATACTATAATTTATGGCAATATTTACAGTACTGTATCAATATACTAACGTCAAATATTGATATTTAAACAATAAACATACACTTGTTCTATAGAGATTCTCTCACAAAAACTTTTTCAAGCCTCCACATGATGGCGCCAAAGACCGCTCCACGAGAGAGGGAGCCCACACTACTGGACACTACTAAAGTGGAAATTGCTTAAAAACTTTGTGGCAGACACAGACACAATGGCTGTCAGTCATTTGAAATTGATTGACAATATTTTGTAATGTATCTGAAATGGTTTCAGTCCAGTAAATAAATTCTGAATGTTTTCAAAGACACATATCATTGATGAAATTTATTGCAATATATTAATCATCGCAGAGCAGCTGTATCGTGATACCCAGGCCTAGTTCACACTAGGGTTTCTTTTCTTTTGGTATGCATTTCAAATCATTGCAAAAGAAAATAACTCAAGGTGGCCATGTGTGTTCACCTACCAGGTTCCTCTGAGGTCTGTGCAAACTCCGGCAGCTTAGATATGAGACGTGAAGGTTCCTGATAGTCGGGACCGAGGGGAAAGATGCGCTCATAGGTGGAGTTAGACTCCTGTTCTCCGGTTACACTGGAATGGTTGTGGTTGTAGGCGAACGTCTCACTCTGTATTGACAGACTAGTAGTTAGTTCATCGTCCAGCATCCGACGAGAGGCCTAGAATACAGGATGTTTTGGGGTAAAGGAACAAATCTAACCTCCTGCCAATCTAAATTACATTTGGTAAAAATCTCTGAGCTGGTATTTGACTGATATGTTACTCACCTTTTCCAGCATCTTCTGCCACACTTGCCTCCACAGGATGATGACAATAATGACCAAGAGAATGAAAATAATGGCTACAAGGCAACCAATCAAAATTCGGGTGTTGCTATCATCGACTTTATGGGTGGGGTCTTCATCTGGAGGAAAACAAGATGAAATGCAGCTTTAAGAAACAGAGACAGTGTTTGAATATTAGTTGGAAACGCAATGTTAGCTTCTTATATACGGTCCTACAGTATTGACTAGGTTTTAAATTGAGTATTGAGTAAAGAAAAGGAAACGCAATGTTAGCTTCTTATATACACAAAGACTTGTTGCAACAAATACAAGAAAAGAAAAAAATGTATACTCAGAAAGTGCCAGTTGTTTTATACTCTAGTGCTATAAGGTGAAATGGAATATAAAAACAAAATTCTTCATTCTAATCCACGTATACACAGTACTGTCAAAATGCTTGCTTCACGTGTGACTCTTATCCTGTTTTCCTTTATATTGTTGATTTAAACTTATTATAAACATTTGTTCCCCTGTTAAATCATATTTAGGATAATATTTTAAATTGGGGCCACCTAGTGGCAAATTGTAGGAAGATTCCGTTCTGGATTGATTTTTCTGTATGGAGTTTGCATGTTCTCCCCGTGTGTGCGGAGCTAATACACATGCCTAGTGAATCTAATGTTCCAAATACAATTTTCCAGGTCATGAAATTTGCAGACTTGTAGAAACGGCACCAAAAGGCAGGATGGAAATAAACACAAAGCCCAGAAAGTATTTGTGGCTCTAGTGAAGCAAGACATAATGATGGTTGGTGTAATAGTAGAGGAAGGGAGGGAGTGACAATGAATAAATGATATCTGTAGATATGTGGCAATGGTGACCCCTGAAAAGAGCAGCCAAAAGAAGAAGAATATTCTTTTCATATTGCATATTTTTCAAGGTAATCAACTCAAGTAAACCAAAGATTTATTCTAATTTGAATAATTCACTAACCTGGTTGTTTCTTCGGAGGCTCCAAAGTTGTGTTGTACATCGCTGTGTCTGAAAAGCATTCATTAACATGATGTCAAACAGGTACAGTTACATTAATCTATTAATCTAATATGATACTGAACACACAAATATATATATATATATATATATATATATGTACTCATATACAGAGTAGATGTAGCTGTAGAAGTAGATATGAACTGACATTTCAATAAATACCAATACTTACATACTACAAATATTTGCCGTAAAAGCAACAGACACATTATTTGGATATATAAAAAAACAACCTATTGACTATTTTTCTTACCTGACTGGAAGGTGATTTCACTGAACAACATCCAGGCATCACCAAAATAGAACTGACATTTGATAGAACTGGCCATGTGATTGGCCAGGTTGACTGTGACAAAGCGAGCACTGGGATTTGTGTCGTCCACTACAGGGCTGAAGGACAGCGGTGTTGCCTCCCAATCGGACTCTGAGCGAAAGTAACACACCACCTGATGAAAGGTCCTCACGTTGTGGGAGAGCATGTTGTTGCAGTACACCTGCAAACAGCAAGGAACAGCTAGAATTATTGACTGTTCTTTAAAAAGGAAAGTGTTTATTATTTTGTCCTGCACCTAAATGCATCTTAACTGCGTTTGAGAGTGAGAGACTGAGACACCCGTCCTCTGCCTTATTACTACATTTAATACCAACACCAGTAGAACTTTTCTGCACCTTCATTGTGGTGAAGTTTCGGGTGCGGTCAAACTCGAACATGATTTCCACATATCCACTGGGAAAACTTCCATTGTTCCAGCCCACATAGTCGTAACCGGGCCAGGCGTTGTGGATGTGGCTCTGTGTGAAATCATCCTCACCAAATACCCCATCAGTCAATTGGCCAAGACCCTCTGTCATGCTGGGAAAACAACAACAACAACAAAAGGTTTAGAATACAGAAAAATTAGGGCAATATTTTGCTTTTTCATCAATGCCACGTCTTTACCACTAGGAGGCAGCATTATACTACCGTCCCGCCATTGACACTCTTGGCCATAAATCGGTGTAAATATAATTTTCATTTCCTTTGGAGAAAATAGTTCTGTGTCATGGAGGACATTATCCATCATACAAAACACTAGTGTAAACAAAAGGTCCTCGAGTTCCCCCTCCTGTTTTAAAACTTTGTTTGACTCATTTATTCCCATGAGGTATTGCTTAACAGTAAACCACCATGACCCACTCACCACCATGTGACTCCTCTTTCACCATGGTGACAGGGCAACAACAGGAGGGAGAAAGGAAAAATACTGACCCGGGATAAAGGAGATGAGGAGGAGCAGGACGGAAGTGTACAGAGGAGGGAAGATCAACACTCATATACCTGTGGATGATGGCTCCATCGTAGACAGAGTCGTTCAGATACACGGTGTCCGAGGCCAAATTCATCTGTCCTCCCACCGGAGCGTTGTATGACACAAGACCATCTGTGAAACAAGTGACTTTTATTGTCCAGACTTGTTTTCTATTCCACCACAAACTCATCAGAGTCCATATTAGTACATCAGAGCATGGTAAACTGAAGACCGTCTTTGTGTCTTACCAAGCCATTCACAGCCGTAGAGTTCCACTCTCATGCAGATGTTCATGGAGTGGTCCGTGACGGGCATGAAGCGGACAAATCGAGCAATAATAGGAGGCTCCAGACCCTTAAGTACAACGTCATAGGCATTACTGTTCCCTTCGATTACCTGTGGGATAGAATAAACATGACAGAAAAACATAGCATTCAATAGTAAATATGACATTTCAATCCTACTGAAATACTGGAATGACCACTGCTTCTTTCTGCCAAACGTATTCTAATGTTTCACTTATATCATATAAATATGGAAGACATTAAGAAAAAATATTTCAGTCAAATTAGGTGTTTTTTAATGTCATTTTTGCACCTAGACCTTTGTTACTACCATGGCATTATGTGGCTAGTTCTTACTGTCTATGTCTTCCATTTTGGCAGTTAATATCCAAGACGCTTACTCATAGTTCACTGGTGCATTCTGGGCTTTACTTTTAGAACAGATACTGACTAAAATCTTTTGGCATATTGATAGTGGTAGAGGTTACACAACCTGACACCAGGCCACACACTCGCTAACACACGTACCTGCTTGCCCTGTCTGTTTCTCCATGAGATCCATCGACTTCCATCGCGGCTGTATTTGATCTTGTACTTCTGAGCAAACTCATTCCCCATGCCTCCTGCATTTCGACCCTGGGTGCCCACAAGGGTGATAAAATGCAGTGAGCGCAGGTCGATCTGCAGGAACTCTTTCAGGTTGTCCGGCTCTACGGTTATTTCCGGACACCACGCTCCATCCCCATCCTCAGAGTCTAATCTGAAAAGATAAAGACAGAGACAAGTAGAAAGGGAGTCAAGGCTGGAGTAGGTCCTGTATGTTCACAGTGGAGTTACAGCAGGAGGAGAAACAGGGGGAAAAACTACTGCAGTGTGGAGGCGGATTTGAGTCCTAAAAGCTTATTATGAAAACACATCAGTGGAAGTCTGTCGTAAATTCATCTTAAAGTGTTAACTTTGGGCGAAGGCCTGTCAGCAGAGACGGAGCACGGTGAAAGTAAAACCACAGCTAGACGACGGGGAGTGTGTTACATCATTATTCCCATATTTACTGAAGGCCACACACACACATCCATACGCCCTTCCTAAATGATGTGGCTGCAGGTACAACTGATATCCTATTTTGCGGTTTAGAGCAAATAAATTGACATTCATTATCAGAATAAATAAAGCCTCAGAATAAGTTTTTTTTTTACTTAAAACAGTTTTATACAGATGAATAAAATATGAAAGACAAAGACATTTTGTTAATGCAATGTTCATACAAGTCTTCTTTACGTGACCCTACTTAGGCCGAGGTTACTTTACTTTGTTTAAGGCTGGATTTAAAATTTAGTTTGTCTTTGGGAAAAATCAAATCAAGGTTAGACGCCAGGTGACGCATATGGTTGTCTGTTTGTCAGTGTGTGAGAGAAAGAGCTGGAGGGAAAAGACAGAGAGGGACAAACCTACCTTCCATATCTGGCAGCAGTGGATTCAGACCACTGACTGGAAGCAGAGATGTCCTCGTCCTGTATCTGACCCCCTGACATGCCCAGTGCGTACCGGCACACACCTTAAAAAAAACAACATCATATTTAGGCTTAAAGACTGTAAACATCTCCAGTTTTATCAGATTAAAATGATATTTTCACATGTTACAGTGGGATTATTCTCTAAATGTCATTTTAACACATATTACGCTCCAAAACATGCAGCTGCCTTCACTTTTCCCAGACCGACCACAGCACCGGTTGGTCTGAGAATTTGATACTGGGCTTGAACGCATGCATTGGACTCACAGCACACACAGACACACACTCGCACAAACTGTGGTTGCTCTATTAAAATAAAACGTTGGATACACACAGTGTCTCTGCCAATCTAAATAGGAGTGGTATCAAGTGTGTGTGTGTGTGTGTGTGTGTGAGAGAGAGTGGTAGATTTGGTTTAAGCTCATCATGCCTCCATTGTGCAGTGACCTTGCAGTAGCATTATGTCCTGTCTTTCCTGTAAACCTCCTCCTCCTCCTCGTCTGTCTGTGTGGTCTCTCCATTCTCACTTCCTGTCTCATTTTAATTGTGCAAGTTGAACACAATTATGTCTAAAATTTGGAAAGCCCTCATTTCATCATGACTCATTTGTTTGGTGGCAAACTGAGCTCGACACAGGCAGTGTGGTAACCAGTAATTAACCTAAACTTAAGACAAGTACAGAATACAGAATGAGTGTCGTAAGGGTTAAAATAGCCAAGATGATTTTTTCCTACATACTGTACGTATATAATGGAAAGACTCAGGTTGTTGTGGTCTGATTGTGATAAATGCATCTAACAGGATATAACGGCTGGGTAGCCTGACAGATGAAAGAACTCTAGGAATACGTGATGTCAGTGGAGGTAAACGGAGTCTCGCTCTGTTAACGTAACCTCTGGTCTCATAGAAAAACCTTTGAGAAGATGCCAGCAACAGCCAAGCTGGAAGTTCAAGGGCCAGTCTGTCCAACTTCTTCTTTCCCCCCCCTTCCGTCTTTTCCTCCTGTGATTCCTTCCTGTTTTTGATCTGTTTTAAATACTGAAGTCAGGAGGTAAAACCCTCTAAAGGTTTAGGAGGAAGACGGTATTGAGGAAGAGTGTACGCAGCGTGTACGTCCGTGAGCGCACACACTCACAGAAACACATTTAGAAATACAAGCCACTTGCACAGTTTTGGTCTTGGCAGTGACAGAGTGACAGAGAGAGGACGGCACAAACAGAAAGCTCTTCCAGATGTCTCTACTAGCCTCTTCGTTCTCCTTTCATCTTGTACTCTCTAACCTTTGTTTCGCGCTGCACTCAACGCTTTAGCCCTTATTACTCACCCCCAACTATTTACTTCTATTTCCTCCCCTCTTTGTATTGGATCTGCTTGGCCTGGAGCAAACCACATCAACCAAAAAACATTTTACTCATCCAAGGTTTAGAGGTTTAGAAGTATTTTCCCCTGTGATTATAGCTGCAAAACCATTCCATCAAAGGTGCGGTGACAAACTGCACGCATATTAGATGCAGGGAAATACAAGATATTAGAAGTGGAGGTAACTGAAACAGCATTAGTGAACAGCGATGAGTAAAAAGATGGGAACAGAAGAGGAGAGTAGTGCAGTATTTCTGCCTTCTACAGTGGTATAACCAGTGGGGTCATGGATACTGACAAGAGGGTCATTTCCTCTTTCCCAAAACACCAATTCCCTGAGAATTAACTGATAAAAATGAGTCATTATCAAAGTCTTCAGTGATTCATAGTGTGCATGTGTGTGTAACCTGGGTGTATGACTGTTTTTGTAAGTGTTGGTTTCTTACTATGTTTACTTACCTACCCAAACTACTCAGAGGTGACCCACGAGGTAAGCTGTACACACACACACACACACACACACACCAACACCACACACCGGGCTTCATATTTGGCCACAGCTAAAAATATCGTCCCAGAAAATTGTGGAAAAATACCAGCCTTGTGTGGTTGACGGGGAGACAGAGCGAAGGGAGAGAAAGACGATGAAGTGAAGTGAGAGAGAGAGAGAGAGAGAGAGAGAGAAAGGAAGAGGGAGAGAAACAGGCTAAGGGACTTACCCCCCCCCTCCCTCACACTCCCCTTCTGCTCACCTCTTGATTCTCACCGCACCCTGCCTACTGAAAGGCAGGCTTGTTCTACACCGTTTACAGTGTAACTCCAAACACACTCACATTTACACACACTGCGTGTCACGCAAGTCATCAACTGGGGTCAGCGCCACTATCCCTGTCAGGGTCTATACTTTAAGGTTTGTTATGAGCAGCGGTAAGAGCTGCTAACAATGTATTATTTCATTAATTAAATTTTTTTTTTATTCTGAAATAATTTATATAAAAATGTGAAGTAACACTAGACTGTATTCGACGCATTACAACAACAGAGTTTACCTTTCGATTCATGCATTTAGCAGACACTTTTATCCAAAGCAATTTAGAATGAACAATCACCTTAACCCCCCCCCCCCCCCCCCCCCCCCCTCCTTTCTTCTTTCGT